TCCTTCCAGCCGAGGTTGGTGGTGTCTGGGAGCTCCGCAGGAAGATGGTAGGTTATCCCGATCCGGAACAGCGCCAGGAGGGTTTTTCCCTCGAGGGAGCTGGCGAGGGCGAGCGGCACGAATGCCTTCGTGTAGAGAATCGGGTCAGGGTTCGCCTGAGGCACGGCAATTAACATCGCTCTTTCCTCCATTTGGACAGGGAAAAACGAATGGGAAAACAAAACAAAAATACTTTTCAAAAACCGAAAAACAAACACGGGTAGAAGGGGTGCCGCTTATTGTCACTTTTAGGTCTGGAATTCTGTCACGGTCGGTGGTAGTGTGAGGAACGCGGAACGAGGAGACCAGGAGACCAGGAGTACGAACCAAAGGGATTTATTCTTGTCACAGGGAATCACACGTAGCACGAGGAGAAGACATCAACATACAATTCCAGACAAGGGAGAACTGAACGGGCTGAACTAAATAGGGTAGATAACGAGGGGCAGACAGGTGATGGGGATAACTAGTAACAAGGAACAGGTGATACTAATAATGTGAAAAGGATCTGGAAGGACCAAATAAGGAAAATAGGAACTCAACGGGAACATACACGTGACAATATCATTCACAGATTTAAATTCCAGAATGTTTTCAGTGAAAAATATTACAATAAATAGGAACATGCTGGGAAATAAATATTGATTATATTACATTTTATGGGAAGTGTATGGCCACTCTGCTTTATGAATGCATTATCTCAGTTTTGCATTGTTTTATGTCAGGTTTTTGTTGTTAAAATGTTTGTGTAAAACCAATGTCACGATCACCAGCTGGAGTGCCCTTGATGGCCACCAGAGGGCACTCTATCCCAGGCTACTGCCACTCTATCAAGGACTTAATTTCCCATAATCCTCTGCCCGGTCTCATTAGCACTCATTGTTTGCACCTGTGTCTCATTAGCCTTGTTAGCTCACCCTATATAAGCCCGGTTCTCTCAATCATTCATTGCTAAGTCTTGCTAGTGTCTGAACTGAAACCACACACACCAAGCTCCGGTGTCCACAGAGCTTGGCACACCATGGTTACCAGCATGTCCTGTGATAATGGCCGCTAGTCCTGTGCTTTCAGCACCTTCCCGTTCTGTTGTTATCGCACCAAAGCCAGTTCACAAGATGGCTGCCAGTCCAGAACCTCTCCACAACATGGCTGCAGTTCTAGAGCCTCGGCCCGTCAAGGCCACCACTCCAGAGTCCCCAACCATCATGGCCGCCATGCCAGTGTCTCCAGCCATCATGGACATCATACCAGAGTCTTCAGCCGTCATGGACGCCACGCCAGTGTTCCTGGCTTTCATGAACATTGCACTTGAAGCTTGTAGGGCAGTGCCCAGGCAGTCGAGACTGACGTCCAGTGTGGCGGACCCACCGCTGATGTCGGTATGAGCAGCAGGCATCCCGGTGGCCTCAGCACTCTCAAGCTCGGTGATCTCAGAGGTTCTCCCACTTTCCGCTGCCCTTCCAGTAATAGTGGTCGCCATTTTGTGTGCCTAGGCCAGGGGTGCCCAAACTCGGTCCTGGAGGGCTTGTGTCCTGCAGAGTTTAGCTCCAACCCTAATCAAACACACCTGAAGCAGCTAATCAAGGTCTTACTAGGCATACTAGAAACTTCCAGGCAGGTGTGTTGAGGCAAGCTGGAGCTAAACTCTGCAGGACACCGGCCCTCCAGGACCGAGTTTGGGCACCCCTGGTCTAGGCCATACACACTTCTGAGGTGGCGGAATCCACTCCCGAGTCCGCTCCAGTCCATGAGTCTGCTCCAGAGCCCGCTTCAGTCCATGAGTCCGCTCATGGAGTGCAACAAGTCAAATCTAAATTGGGCATTAAGAACTGCAGTGTAAATATAGCCTATGATGCTTTAAAACTTCCTCTTCCTGGAGATCTACTTTCCTGCAAAGTTCAGCTCAAACATGATCAAACACACCTGAAGCAGCTCATTAAGATCTTCAGGTGCACTTGATAATTACAGATAGGTGTGTTGGAACAGGTCTGGTACTGAACTCTGCAGGTAGGTAGATCTTCAGGATCTTGATCCTTCGCAAAGACCCGCCCACCCTTGCTACATCCAACAAGCCATGGCGCTCTCACACCACACATCATGTAGCCACACAGTGAAAAATACATTGCAGAGCAAAGAGGACACTGACAACGCCACTCCAGAGTCTCGTCTCTTCATGGCTGCCTTTCCAGAGCCAGGTCAGAGCAGACAGAGCAGGTTACTTTTGGTATGAAACAAAGTCTCAGCTTTCAAATTTTGTCATTTCATAAGAAATTCAAACAATAAATGCCATTTTGTGACTCTTTCATGTGTCATGACAGATCACTGCAGCGCCTCAGTTCCAGCGACATTCAGTTCATGGCACTATTTCATTTCTATGATAACTGCAAACTGTGGCTGCATCTGAAAGTTTAGGTAGCTGACTTGTTGTCTTGTTGCACTATAAACCGATGAAATCACAGGCTGCGTTTGCATTTAAATTTACCTCCTGAAATTGATTTCAAACAGGCTTCTGAGGCAGCATGACGGTGTGATGATGAACAGGATTGGACATCTCTGCTTTATGTCTGAGTAGGCAGATCACTAAGCTCATGTTCTTCAGTTTCTTACCTCCTACTACTTTTTGGATTTATCAATGTATCTATTTTTTGTTTCTCAGTCTGTTTCTATTATGTTGGCTCACTATGCGAATGAGGTTTGTTTTTGTAATATCTGAATTATAATACTAGGTGGATCGTTCCCAACTGTCACGGCTTGCGTTTTGAGAAAGTCCCACATTAAGGTAACAAATACCTATTCATCTCTTGCCAAAGTGTGAGTGAGTCCGCAGCAGGGACATTTGGTTAGCGTTGATTTATATGCGCTGTCAATGAGACATGCCATCAAGCGTGTAAACAGTGCAGATAAAGAATGAATTACCTTTACGAGCAATCCGAATGCAGTTGATCCTGGTCTCCTGAGGGTAAAACAGAGAATGGATACAAGTTATCAGGGCTATCTGACGGTCAGCGCATAGCACGTGTGTGATTTATGTGTATATCTGACTAGAAATCCCACAGGCAGCCAGAATTAAATAGAAATGCATTTGATGGAATTTACTAGCAAATGAATGAGAACATCAGCTGGACATGATTATATTTATTTGCAAGCATTACAGAAATTTTACTTTTAAATGGGTTACACTTTATTTCGATAGTCCACTTTAGACATTCTACTAACTATAAGTAACTTTGTAACTACATGTCAACTACATGTCAACTAATTATCATTAATTTGCAACTACATGTCTACTAACTCTCAGAGTAGACTGTTAGGGTAGGTTTAGGGTTAGTAGAATAAGTTGACAAAGAAAGTGTTAGAAGATATTAAGCAGACAGTCTACTAATACTCTACTAACTGCTAGTTGACATGTAGTTGTAAAGTTACTTACTGTTAATAGAATGTCTAAAGTGAACTATCGAAATAAAGTGTTACCTTTAAAAGTACTCTGAACATTCCGAAACAAGTAGTAGGTACTTACAAGTGGTAAGTTTTAAATGTTTAAAAACAGAACATTCAGCTAAAACGTTTCACTTAAAAAAAAATTATAATAATAAAAATCCATTAACAATAATTTTGTTAAAGACCAGATAACTTAGTAGGTACTTACAAGTGGTAAGTTTTAAATGTTTAAAAACAGAACATTCAGCTAAAACGTTTCACTTAAAAAAAAAATTATAATAATAAAAATCCATTAACAATAATTTTGTTAAAGATCAGATAACGCTGAATAAACATTATATTAAAATTACAGGAAGAACCTTTATTCATAACTTTGAGAGAATCTTGACAGAATATTCGCTAAAGTTCTGAGAATGCTCTCTGTTAGCATGGACACCTTCTAGGGTTAGATGAGGTACAAAGTTGGCCCGCTAAGCGTACTGTACAGTAACAAGCTGCTGTAGCCCTAAATGTACAATTTTTGCAACTTTGATTTCAATAGATTTGTCATTAACATGTTTCTAAGTTAATAATATACAATATTGTAACTAGCAAAAAAATAAACCTTTCCACTCTGTGGTGCATTATGGGAGTCTCATAGCTGTAGCATGCCTATGATGTTGCCTAAAATGCTGTCTACATAAGTAGCTCACTAGGTTTTAGAGCAGAGCCTAAGAGTCCAGTCCAGCCTTATGCATCTCTCTCTCTCTCTCTCTCTCTCTCTCTCTCTATATATATATCTCACACACACACACACAAACAGGGTGAGCAGAGACATATTATCAAATTAAGATTTGCAGGTGCAAATTGTCTCTCTCTCTCTCTCTCTCTCTCTCTATATATATATATATCTCACACACACACACACACAAACAGGGTGAGCAGAGACATATTATCAAATTAAGATTTGCAGGTGCAAATTGTTGCTTTATGTGGCAATTATGCAAATTAATCTACCTAGATTGGAGTCGAGACCTTTCTCACCCAAACTGCTGGTAAATTGCCTTTTAAATTGAAAATCAGCAACGAGTTGCTTTCTCCTCTCTTTCACCAGGGCATATGTGACATATTTACCACCATATTTTAACATGTCATTAAAACGTGTTCAGCAGTCCTTTGTCGAGGTTGTGGGGCACTGAGGTTCAGCACTGAAATTAATCGCTGTCAGATGATATATCATATGATATGCAGGTCACGCTCAACACTGCTTTGCAAGTGGCTGTTAAGGGTGGTAATGCCCAGCAATTTCCCACCATTCAATATGGTCAATATTCAGAGTGAAAATGTGTCCGTCTGTCACACCCACAAACGTGATTGACTTTTATGTGTCCGTGAGGATGTGAACGGGAGTGAACAGCCACTGCATTCATAATTCACTGAAGAAAATGTCAAAGTTGCAAAAGTTGCCGCTTAATTTAAGGTCCTCTCAGCACAAACAGTGTAGGATGAGTTACGTAGTGAAGTTAAAAACGTATTAGCGGGATTAAGGGTTTGGAGCAACATTAATAGTGAAGCTTGCCTCTCATACTAATAAGTTCTGTTTTATTCTAAAATGTATTTGTATATTCTAAAACCAAACGCGTAGGCCACTTTAGTCAGAGTAATTACTGTTTAAATTCAGCGCAAGTCTAATAGAGCGAACCTGCACCTAATTATCACAAATAATTGTCAAAATAATTAGCAACAGCACAGCCGAGCTTTCAGCGTCGCTCATGTTAAAAATATTTATTTAGACCGAGTAAGATGGAAATGCTTGCACTGCATTCATAATTCACTGAAGAAAATGTCAAAGTTGCAAAAGTTGCCGCTTAATTTAAGGTCCTCTCAGCACAAACAGTGTAGGATGAGTTACGTAGTGAAGTTAAAAACGTATTAGCGGGATTAAGGGTTTGGAGCAACATTAATAGTGAAGCTTGCCTCTCATACTAATAAGTTCTGTTTTATTCTAAAATGTATTTGTATATTCTAAAACCAAACGCGTAGGCCACTTTAGTCAGAGTAATTACTGTTTAAATTCAGCGCAAGTCTAATAGAGCGAACCTGCACCTAATTATCACAAATAATTGTCAAAATAATAAGCAACAGCACAGCCGAGCTTTCAGCGTCGCTCATGTTAAAAATATTTATTTAGGCCGAGTAAGATGGAAATGCTTGCAGGTCAGATAAATAATAACCTAAATGAATTTGACTCATCTTGCGCTAGAATAAACTCACTTTGAACGGCGAGTGTCAGACAGCGTTGAGTGGTTGATGCTACTGTTTATGGCCTATTATGTAGTCATTACTTCCCATTAGAGGAGGGATTTTCAACACAATCCCATTATTGGATACAATGGTACCTTTATTTTGTTTGTAATGATGAGCCAGCCAGTCAACATGAGTCAAACCCACTGTGTTTGTCTTGTTCTCTAAATCTATAACACCCCCCCCCACCCCACCCCACCTACTACAGATTAATTTCCGTGACAAGAAGACAGAATACAACTCCACAGGCCTCATTAAAATGACAATTGATGATCAAATGCTTCTCTCTATTGCGCTTGCAGTGGAACTTTCATGTGCCGCAGTCTGGATCATCTGCGTATCACCTCAATACATCAAACAACTGAATAAGCAGCATCCTAATAGAAGTAAATAGTATGTAATGTTGTGCTCAAATGATTCATGTCCTTAAGTAGTTTCCCAAAGTTGTTACAGAAGCAGATTATATCTACAGTGGTAGTTATATATTCTCATTAATTTTATAAGCATACATAATTTATCATTTCCTTGTCTGCCATCTATTTCCCAATTGTCCGCCCAACATAAAAGTTAACTGAAAATGAAGAACTGGTTTTGGTGCATTAAGCAAGGTCAATCAAGAATTGACAGTGCTGGACTTGTAAAGTCTTAGACCAGGAAGGTCCAGCAGAGTTTGGGTCTTGTCCTAATTAAACACATCTGAACCAGCTAATCAAGGTCTTCAGGACCACTAGAAACGTTTAGACAGGTGTGTTGGAGGTCAACTTTGTAGGAAAGTGCCCCTCCAGGAGCAGGATTGGACATCCCTTTCCTAGACACCTCAGATGTTTCAAAGCATTTATCAGGTGCATCTTTTTGATTTCAGCACAGTTCTGTTGCTTTTAAATCTGAAATCCAGAAGTCTGATGTTTAGATGCTAGGCCAGATGTCTTCAGCTTTGCTCCTGAAGACCCTGTCCTGCAGAGTTTAGCTCCAAGCCTGATCAAACACACCTGAGCCAGCTCATCAAGGTGTTCAATTGTTGGAGAAGGTTGGAACTAAACCTAGCAGAACAGTGAGTCTCCAGGAGCAGGGTTGAAGACCTATGAGGTAGGCCGATGACCTACAGGCAATGATATATTATTGCTCATCATGACCTAAAGGAGAAAGTAATTATACTCAAGTCCCCAGTTCCCAGCTTGCTTAGTAGGATATAGAACAGTGTTACCCTTAAGATAAAATGGTACAAACAAATCTTCACAACTGATTGTCGATAACAATATGCTAATGTCAAACTGTAAACTAGGGACACAACAATAATCCAAAGATAGAAGTAAACATTGGGTAAAATAGTCTGTAACGCTCATAGTAATGGGACCATGCCACCCTGCTAGAAAGAAAGTAGAACCATATAAACTATACAACTGTGTACAAATGTTTGATCCAATCGAAACTGGGAGTTTGGCCTCTTCGTATAGTAAGCTATCAAGAGAGTAGCTCCTTAGCAGCTAGATTAAAACATCATTATCAAAAATTGCTGCTGCCTTTCTTATCCTTTCCAGTTGCTTTTTCTTTCCATCATAAGTCGTTCATTCAATAGTATTTCTGTCACACTTGGCGCTCCCACTAAAGTGACGTAAAATAAAAAGGGTCTTAACAAAATTTTAAGACAAGTGGTCACAGGAGATGCACTTCTTATTCCCAGATGGAAACAGTAATGCATGTTTTGGTTGACGACTTGTGAGTGGATCACATGAAACACATCTTAATACCAGGTGTAAACAGGGCTTCCATGTCGCTCGCTTGGTTTCCGGGATATTTTATATAATTTGCGGGCATCAGGTAGCTGCTTTCAATATGCGGGAGACTTCCAGAAATTGTGAGGCAGGTAGGATGTCTGAGCTGGGCTCTTGTGCTGTTGTCTCAAGAAAATGAAATGGGAAATGGTCTGATGAGAATACTAGGAAAAAAACATTAGTCTAGTCTCAAAGAGCTGATTAATTGAAGAGGATAATATGTGTTGCTTGGCAAAGAGTTCAAGAGCTTCAATAGACCTTAATAAGACCTGTTCTGGAAGCACACTAAAGAAGAAAACGATGACCTATTCAACATTTAAAGCTCTTTCAAAATGAACGGAGTGACATATACTACGTACCTCTATGTCTTTCTACCCCCCACATAGCAATTGTCTTCTGGCCCAGCTCTGGGCCAAACAAGCAGTTACACTCGGCCCACATGCAGCAAAGAATTACGGCCCTTGTTTGGCCCAGAGCTGGGCCAGAAGACAATTGCTATGTG